TGCGATTTGTCAGGTAGAAAGAGCAATGCACTACTCGAGTAGAGGGCCGGTTCCTTTTGTGTGGTGTGAAGCGACCGTGTCAAACATGCATGTTCTGTGACTGTGTCGATAGATGGTTGATCCATTTTTGTGTGCATGTGTTTGCCGGGTCGGAGGAGAGGCACTAACGGGCTCTGGGGTCCTCGGTGACCACCGCCGCGTCGTCGCACCGAACACAAGCGCCTAGTGGCGCCTTTTGGTGCATGCGCTCATTGCTTCCTCTCGTCCAGGAAATAGTGGCCATCCATGGCAACAGACCATGCACAACGCACCGAGCCCTGCCGCGCCAGCCATACTAGCTGCCAGCTTAGCTCGGAGCTAGCAGCACCTCGTAGCCGTAGCCGTAGCCTTTTTTTCTCGTCGACGTCGCGCGTCAGGAGAAAAATTCTCTGGCCCGGAGGCACAACGACCGCTCACAAATTAACTTTTTACTGGCACGGTCCTAGCCGAACGTACGACGAAAAAGAAAATTAAACCAACAACAACCAACCAAGCCCTCTTTTTCCCCCGGCGCGCGATCGACGACGACCTAGCTAGCCGGCCGGCCGGCCGGCGGGGTCTAGATCCTTCCTACTATCCTACTTGGCGCTCACGAACGAGGAGGACCCGGCGGCCAGGCACTGGCCCTGGCCGCTGACAAAGACACACACGCGCATGTGGCAGCCACTACTCGCCCGCCCGCGCTGACGTCGTGACTCCGTAGCAGAGCACTCGGCCTTGCCGCTGACAAAGATACACACACGCGCATGTGGCGGCCACTACTCACCCGCCCGCGCTGACGTCGTGACCCCGTAGCAGAGCACTCGGCCATGTCGCGCGCGCGCACGTACACCTCGTCGCCGGCCCGGCTGGCCCGGCGTGCCCATCGATTGTGCGTGACCTAAAAATCCTTGCTAGCTAAATCGCTCGGTCGTCATTGCCCATTGCCCATGTACCTGCATACATGAGGCTCTCCTGTTATTCGTTCCCTATAAAAAGCGCCTGGGGGGTCATGGCTGCCGAGGCGTGAGAGTGCCTGACGCACTAGCTAGCTAGCTAGGAGTACTAGCCACACCGCCAGCAACTTGCTGCATTGCCTGTTGCTCGCCCCAGCTCCACCACCAACCAACCGCCGCCGGCAGCGGCAGCGGCAGCGGCAGCGGCAGCCGCGAAAGCTCCCTCGCGCAGCCCGGCACCGCCGGCTGGCCCGGCCGTCCGGATATCCCGCGATCTTGTGTTCCTCGCTCATAACAATATATTTGATTTGATCACACACATTCTCCGGCGCCGTTTCCGCACGCCACGGCCGCGGCAACGTACCGCAGCTCCTCCCGCGGCGGGCTGGGCCGCGCTAGCTTGGACTTGCTGGAACCAACAGAACGTACGCCAAGCTACCAGCGCGCGGCGGCCGAGCTTGGAGGCTAGCGAGGCAGGTACTACTACTGCGGCTACTAGCAGGCTGACCTGGCCAGGTATCAGGTATGTACGCACGTCATATGCACCCCTTTCTTCCTTCCACCAGATTTTGCCGTGATTCGTACTGCTCTGTTTGTTTATACATGCTTTCGCAGCGCCGCGTTCAGTGCCACTCAGTACTACACCTACACCTAGCACCATGAAATGCTGAATAATACTGAAACACAACAACTGAACAAACAACCTAGGGGTAGAATAGCGCGCGTGTATATATGGAAATTATTTCTACTCCCATGAAGTAGTTACTCTCATGTGTATATCTCTAGATTTAGGATATATATATATATATAGAGAAATTATTTCCTACTCCCAGGGAGTAGTTACTCTCATGTCTATATCTCTAGATTTATGCCCCGTTCGCGTGCCCTTAAACCTGGCTTGATCCGCTTTTTTTTTATCCGGAACAGTGTTTTCCTCTCACAAATTCTTCCAGAATTCCTCCAAATCATTCAAATTCCTTTAGAACAAGGGCCCCTTAGGGCGTATATCTCCCGACGAATTGTATTTAGATAGAGTATATAATCATACTAGACCATTTAGGATAGCATGTATATAAAGTATGCAAGTATACTTAAAGTATATGGTTATACTTGTTTTATATACTACTGTCATATATTAAATAACATATTAAAAAATATGGGCTCTTTTGAAAAAAATTCACATAATAAAGATCTAGAGTATCTTAATATGAGTATGTCAACATACTCAAACTAATAAATAAATATATATATATATACATACGTAACGTGGTTTATTGATCATGAGAGTATATATATATATATATATATATATATATATATATATATATATATATATATATATATATATATATATATATATATATATATATATATATACTCTCATATATACACTCCGATCCTCCTCCGGCCGGTGGATCGATGATATCGATATATGCATGCATACAGCATACGCGAGATAAGACGACGTGGACGTGAACGTCCCCTGATGTATGCCTACACTGATGCGTGTTGTCTGTTCGTTCAAACTGCAAATGAAACAATTAGTGACATGCTATTCAGCCTGTTTGTTTGTTGGTTTTAATAAAAAGTTTATTAGTTTAGAAACTAACCAACGAATAGGCTGATTGTAGGATTGTGTACGTGTTTCTTCTCTCCAAACAAATTAAAGGAGTCTAGTTCGCTCCAGCTGAGGTCGATCGGATCGGTTGGGTTTATTAATTTCGGTAAGCACTTGATCGACCTAACGCTTAGTTAAGTGTGTCGTACGTACGGCAGGTACCCAGCCGTGTGATTAAGTTAGGCCTCGTTTGGCTTACCTTATACTCTCTCTATACTAAAAAATCAAGTCATTTTGAACAGCGATATAGTCTCCAAAGTATTACTTTGACTTTGTTTTATAAAAATATTTATCAAAAAGTGATATATATATATATATGAAAGTATTTTTCAAGACAAATCTATTTATATGGCTTTCACATTTCCAAACTCAACAGCTTAAAAGTTATTCTTAATTTATATTTTCAATATTTGACTCAAGCCTTGTTCAAAACGATTTTATTTTTGAGTAAGAGGAAGTAATCCGCACTATTCAACTTATTTTTCAGTCGAAAAAATATTTTTCTCTCACAACAATTCAGCCAGTTTCAGCGAGCCGAAAGGGCCTTACTAATGATGATCGCGTGTTTATTAGCTGTCCGCAACTAAGGAGCGCCGCCGATAGATACATCTCGTGTTCTGCACTGCAGTACTGTACTATATTGCAACCATGCATAGTACTAGGCTAAGGTGATACATATGCACAGTTGTACACTGAATGTGCCGGGGTAGTCATGGTTCACAGGTTCAGATATGCATGCTGACATAGGAAGGCCTCGTTTAGTTGGTGAAATTTTTTGGAAAATAGTACTGTAGCACTTTCGTTGTTATTTGGTAATTAGTGTTCAATCATAGTCTAATTAGGTTTAAAAGATTCGTCTCGTGAATTTCGTCTAAACTGTGTAATTAGTTTTATTTTTTATTTATATTTAATGCTTCATGCATGCGTCCAAAGATTCGATGTGACGAGAATCTTGAAAAAATTTGCAAAATTTTAGGAACTAAACATGCACTTACCAAAGTTATCCAAAAATACAAAAGATGGATTTAATTTCCCTAATTTTGGATAAAAGAGTAGCATACATCTCTTCGGAAAAGAAGCTATACTATAGCTTAGTCAAACTATCTCTAGTTTGATTAGATTTATAGAAAAAAGAGTGACAGGTATATTATAAAAGTATGTATACATATATGGCAAATCTAATAATACTCATTAAGCACTCATTCCGTTCTAAATTATAAAACGTTTTAATTTTTTTAAATGCATTATTTTATTATGCATATAGATATAGTGTATATTTAAATACATAGCAAAAGTTACGTGTCTAAAAAATCACTACTTCTTACATATAATTTAGAACGAAAGAGTATATCTCATAAATATTTTTTTATAGATGATTTGAGTTTGACTTGATACTATGTTAAAATTGTATTTTTTCCTAGACTGAACAAAACCCTTATGGTTCAACTAACGTTGTTATTGTGGTGAAAGGAGCATATCACATATCTAGTATATCACATAGGAGCATGCTCTTTGTTATTGTGGCGGTATATTAAATTAAAGGGTATTTTTTATTGGTGTCATTGTAATTTTTCAAGTTTGAAGAAATACCATTATTATTCACCTATTTTGAAGGATGCCATTATAATTTTTCGATTCATTCAAATACGCCACAATGTACGTTTGGGAGAGGCTTGGACCCCACCTGCAGACATACCGGACATACTAGTATTTTCGTCTAGACGATATTGCCCTCGGCTACTCTCCTCCCTGCAGTCACTGACGCGTAGACCCCACTTGTCATCCCCTTCCTCTCCTCCTCTTACCAATGGCCGTCGCAGGGGGCTGCACATTCAGGCCAGCTGCTCGCCTCCTCATCGGCGCCAGCCATGCGTGCCTTTACCTGTCTTTGGGCCAGCGTCGGCCCGGCTCCCGGGCGCGTTTCATGTGCTCATGTAGGCCATGCTCACCTTCACAGCGACCATGGCGGAGTAGAGCTCGAGCGCACGCTGCCGCCGCTGCCATGGCTACCGAGGGCGAGGCCGACCACCATCTCATGACAACCCCCCCCCCCCCACCATGCGTGCGAGACCGGCGCGGCTCGGCGGCAGCTCGCTTCATGCTTTGCGGCGGCGGCGCAGCTGCTGCTGCTCGCTGCTGGCCGCCGCAGCCATGGCGCGGCTGCCTTCTCGTCCGGTGGCGGCGCAGCAGCACACAGGCGCGAGCCTGAGAGTGGGCGAAGGATGGCAGCGGCGTCGCAGGCGAGCAGCTTCTTCTTGGTCTTCTCTGCTCTCTCTCTCTCTCGCTCCGAGCTCGCGCGAAGCGCCACCGAGCAGCAGCAGAGCTCTGGCCAACCGCTGCCATTCCGATCTGCGAGCGCCGCCACAATCCCGGCCCAAGCTCGCCCCCTTGATCCACCTCGACCTCCCTTAGGTGCCGGCGCGCGTGCACCTGGAGCTCCGCCCCACCATGGTCGCGCGGGAGCTCCGCCCTGCCATGGCTGCTGCGGAGCTCCGGCGAGGCCCCTTCCCGACTGTAATTTTCACGGAGCTCACCTCCTCATCGGCGCCGCCCCGCCTCGACCTCACATCCACGCTCCAGTCCTGGCGGCGGGCGTCGTCGCAGCGGCGCTGTCTCATGGCCGGGTGGTGGCGCGGCGAGTTGAGCGAGAGGTAGGACCCCAGGAGCTCTTCCATCTTCGCCACGCTGCCGATGCGCCGCTCCACCACCATCTCCACCATCGAACTACGGAAGTCCAAGTACGGGTTGCTCGAACACTTCACCACTGCCATGCCCGCGCCGCCGGCGGTTGTCTCCTCCGCGGCCGCCGCGCCCGTCATCATCAGCTTCCCGACGTTGAGACCCTTCTCTTCCTTGTTCCTCTCGTTGTTGCATTCCCTGTGCTGCTGCTTCGTCTCCACGGACACCACCAGCGGCCGGAAAAGCGTCGAGCGGTGCCGGCGGGTCGCTGGTTCTCGACAGCGCACGCCGTGGCGCGCGGCGGCGACTGCGACTCATCGTGTTCCTGTGACTCCTCCTGGTCCTGGTGTTGCCGCCGCCGCCGCCGCCGTTGGTGATGGTGTGGTAGAACTCGGACGTGGAGTCGGACGAGAAGACGAGAAGAGCGTCCTCGTCTCGGCCTCATCGCCGCCCTCCTCGTCGCTGCAGCCGCCGCTGCCGCTGAACGGCGCGAGCTCGTCGTCCGTTGCGGTGGAGGACGACGACGAGGACCAGCTGTACGGCGTGGGCGTGCTGCTGGGCCGCCGCGCGCGGCCCCAGTAGGAGGACGGCGACGAGCAGCGCCACCTCGACGCCGACGGAGACCGCGGCGCCGGCTTGCTCCTGCCCCTGCCGCCCTTGCTTTGCTTCTTGACGACGTCCCTCGCCGGCACCGACAACAGGTGCTGCAGAAGCGGCGCGTCGGAGTGGCCGGAGACGGCCCCGGCGCCGCCCGTGCAGTCCACGGAGATGTGTATGAGCGACGCGCTGCGGCTGCGGCGGCGGCGGCGGCGCGAGCGGGTGCCGCCGTCGACGGCCTTGGGCCGCTCGTAGGTGCAGGGCGTGCAGAAGTACGGGGCTTCCGGCTCCCGCGTGTGGGAGGAGTGGGTGTTGGTCTTGGCGAGGCTGACGAAGGCCGTGCCGCCGCCCGAGCCGGCGGCGGCAGTGGCGGACGTGGTGCAGGTGGAGCGCGTGAGGATCCGCGCCAGCCGCTGCTTCAGCCGGCCGCCGGCGCTGTCCCGGCGGTGGGGGCTCTTGTCCATGAAGGGCGTGTCTGTCTCTGTCCATGTCCGTGCAGAACTCGTGCTCGGTGTTTGAACGCGCCGATGGCCACGCGCAGCTGTGGCAGTCGGGCATGCAGGTGCCTCAGCTGCTGGGGAGCCTACTGTTTCTGGACGTCGGCAAGCGCGGAGGTGAGACCAAGGAGGCAGGGCGGCGCGGACGGAAAGGAGAACCACCATTGGTACGAGCAGAGGGAGGGGATGACGAGTGGGGCCTACACGTTAGTGACTAGGATGAGAGAAGTAGTTGAGGGTTCCCTGTATGCTGCAGCTAGGGCCAAGGGTCCCAAAGACGTATAGCGTGACATTTTTCAAACTTCAAAGATTACAGTGACACCAATTCAGATAACCCTATATTAAAATCTACGACGGCTGAAGATTCCGCGGCCTCCTAGCCTGTGTTGCACGATGACTTCTTCAATAATTATGTGGCCCTCGCGCTGTGCTGGCAGCCAAAGCAAAAGCCTCTAGCTGGTTTCGCTAAGGACAATTTTAGCGTACAAGATTTTGATACTAGCAATATCATAAACTATTTCTTTAGCTCAAATTGCTCCAACACTTTAGCTAACTAAAATTTCTAACAAATGATCACTAAAGATAAATACTATTTCCTATTAGTTACTCCTTCCGTCCTATAAAATATATCCGGGAATCATACATTTTTAACTTTGACCAAATACATATAAGAGACAATTAATGTTAGTTTTAAAAAAAAGACAATTAATATTTATTATGTATAACAAATATTATATGATTAATAGTTGAATATATTTTCATAATAAGCTCATTTGAAGATACAAATATTGTTAATATTTTTTACAAATTTATTCAAACTTAAAAACGTTTGACCTATATACAATACCCTAGGCAACTATCTTTCTGTACAGAGGGAGTAGCATGCATGATAACATCTACCACCCAAACAACAATGAAAACACGTGCAAGGATAAAATCAGTGTAGCGAAGTGCGCTTATCCTTTAGTAATCACTCTGTTAAGTTTATCTATGACGACGTTGATATTTGGCACACCAAAATGGTAACTTTCAATCGTGTAACATGAGTCTCAATATACATAGAATGATGCAAGTATCCAGCTGAGATTTGCGTATGCTAAATCCTCCTGGTTTACTTAGTCGGGAGGAGATCTTACAAAATGGTAGCTTCAAGCGTGTGTAACATGAGTTTGAATAAACATAGAACGATGGAAGGTATCCAGCTGAGATTTGCATGCTAAATCTTCCTGGTTTACTCAGTCGGGGGGAGATCTTAATTCCAGGTCTACTTCCATGACAGTAGCACTGACAGAGACAGTGATGGCAGATGTGCTGCTGGGTCACTCTATTTGCTCATGTGTGTGATGACAGTTTTTCAATTAATTAGAAATCTGCATGTAGCAGTAGTTTACTTGCTCGCTGGAACCGAAAGTGAAAAATTAAAGATGCTAGAAAGTAGAAAGACAGGGTAAGTACTACGCGTATACGAGGCTAATTGGTCCCATGTGCTCTTTGTCGGTTAAAATAGCCACCAGGCAACAATATTTAATCTACATATTTAGCTTTTCTAAAAATTGCATGCATGCATATTCGTTCCTTGGCTTTTTTTTTTTTTTTGAAATCCTACGCATGTGCTCACCACATTGTCGAAGACTGGAATTATCTTAAATTTCCTTATTGGGCCTGACTCTTTCATGCATCGTGATGCCTAGCGTTCCACTCTCTTGTCTTTATATACGGTCTGTTTTGTTTTCAACCTTGTGGTCAAACAAATTGTTTGCGTGTGGTTGGTCGGAGGCCTACTTTTGCCATCAAATTCAAACGAAAATCAAATGGATGTAGTCCTTCGTTCATATAGTATTTAGATTTTCTAGAGATATCTTATGTATCGCTTTCCGATGGATTTAGTTTATTTGGTCTCATACATTTCCCTGGTGAGTGGTGACTGGCAAGATCTTATTCTAACACGGCTAGCTTCCGAACACGCACCAGTAGCTTTCATGTTCCAAAATGTTTAAAGCATTTTTTATATATATGTTGGTTAGCCACCAAGTACACAGAGCCACTGATTCTTCTCAAGATGGATGACTAGCAGGGCATCTATCTATAATCAATCTCCTATTTTTCGATAGATTACATGCATATTTTGATCACTATTGGCGCGCGGTGTTGCTGATTTTATTCAGTTTAGTTATTCCCCTATTCCTTGTCAGTGCATTATGTTAGCATCGATCGATTCCGAGAGCTCAGTACGGAATTTATCTAGATACATAAGTAATTGGTTCAGATGCCAGCAACCGACTGCGCGCAGGCGCAGCCGGTCTTCCAGACAACCATGCATGCATGGTTTAATTCCTTCTTCGGCATATTCAAGATTCGAATTTGGTGGGGAAAGAAAATTGCTGGAAATTCGTTCCAGGAAGCTCCTAGCTAGCTCAGCTCGTAGAAAAGAAAGCATGCATGATTGCGCTGGAAATTCCGAGATCGATTCTTGAAACAGTGAATTTAACTGTCCATGCATCATTCAAACTAGTGGTACGGTTTTGAGGAATTATCGGAATAATAATATATAGATATGCTTTTGAGTTCTGACTGATCATGGGCAATGGCAGTGTGTACGTAACTACCTAGCAGTAGCAGCAAGTACGTTGTACGTAGCACGTACTAAGCTAGTCGTCCTGGTTTAAGGAATTATTGGAATAATATAATGTATTAGAAATGCTTCGGTGTTCATTGCCAATTTGACATGGGATCAGTGTATGAGCGTACTTGTATAGCGTATTAAGGCCCATGCTCCGTATCCAAGAGGAATATGTGGCGTGAACTAGAGAAAGCTCTATTTTTTTTAAAAAAAGAAGAAGAAATAACTGAAAGCCCTAGCTAGAGCCCCTGTTAAAAAAAGAAGATAAAACCTGCTTATTTCCTCAAAAGTTGATCAGGAGTTTCTCTATCTAAGTGCACCAAAAAATTCGACGTGCCTCGAAGTCGAAACCTGTTTAATTTCTTATAACACTACTTAAGAGGAAAGATAAGTTTGATCACGGTCGTCACACGGTCAATCCACTCATTTCACCTATCATCTTCAAGTTTTTACACCCTAGCTAGTGTCACGGAACGTACGGCATGCTTAACCGCCCACTACTTTTGAATCTATCACCATAGGCGCATAGGCCCGTGCACATTCTGTCGCTTTTGTTGACATTCTGTCCCTTTTCAAAAAATATATATATATATGATCTTAGAAAAAAAATATACGCTTACTTGTCTACGATCACAAACTGGAAAATAGTGCAGCCTACCAAATCTAATGTTGCTGGTTTTTCAAAAAGGTCCAAAGAAATAGGGCTCACCTCCTTCACATCGCTCTCGCGAAGACCCCGATTTTCCTTCCGGTAGATACCGCCAATATGGGACTGTTAGAAAAGAAAAATAAACCCATGGGTATATAGTGGGAAAACAATTCTCTTTGTGTACTGTGGACTTGTAACCGTGTGTTTGGTTTGGGAACCAAGTGGGTTGGGTTGGATCCAACCTAGTTTTCTAGAATGAGATGAACCCATTTCGTGTTTGGTTAAAGGGTTGGGTTCAACTCAGTTTTTTGTTTGGTTGGAAGGGTCGAGAGGTATGGAATGATGACATTTTGACACAGTTAACATTAGCCATTAGTGGGGCCCATCTGTCATCCTCTTAATTTTCTTTTTTATTCCCATCACGTTATCCTCTTCCCTGGGCCACGCCAGAACACATCACTAAGCCTGCCATAGCCACCACCACCACCGCCCCGAGCCTATGTCCACGAGCACATCACCAGCTGCCGCCAACTCCCGAGCCCATGCTAGCCCACCGTGGCAGCCACCATCCCGAGCTCGCCCGCCACCGCCCCGAGCTCCGAGCTCGCCTGCCATGGCTGCCACCGCCCTGAGCCTGAGCTCGCTCGCCATGGCCTCCATCGCCCCTAGCCCGAGCTCGCCTGCCATGGCCGCCACCAACCCAAGCTCGAGCTCGCCTACCATGGCCGCCATCGCCCCGTGCCCGAGCTCACCTGCCATGGCCGCTGCTCGCCCAGATCCGGACGCCGGAGGAGTGTATCCGCTGGGGCCGCGAGTGCCGGGGCGGGAGAGGTCGCGACAAAGGGAGGGAGAAGGAGACGGAGGTCCACGGCGTCGACTTGGGTTGAGCTCGTCCGCTTGAATTGAGGGGATCGTTCCAACCCATCTGAAGATATATTCTCTCCTGGGTTCGATCCAAACCTACATGGCTCCTCAACCAAACAGCAGACCATCCAGGTTCAACCCGGGATATCCCACTCCAACTCACAATCAAACACACAGTAAATGAACCAAATCTCTCCTATGAATTCGTGGCGCTAGCTGGTATTTTCAACTCTGCACTCCTAGAGTCTCCCGGCCCTAGCACTCCGTACCGTATCCCGTACCACTGCCAACACTGCCACAGGAAAGCAGAAAACACGTGGCTTTTTCGCGAGGGCTGAACCTTCCTTTGGTTTGCGCTGCTGGTCAAGGTGATGGTGGAGGGTGGGTGGCTGGAAGCGGGACCTGGACCCGGACCCGGACCCGGACCCGGCCACACCCTGGCAGTGGCAGGGAGCCCGTGGAGGAAGAAGACCCAGAGCGCGGTTTGTTTGACTCGCCACCTTTCTGGCACGGTAGAAGTAGTACTATTTCCCAGCGAGTTCCACCCCTGCCCTCCATTCCATGGCAGCGGACAGCAGAGCCATTTCCGTCGAATCCCATGTTCCGTTTTTCTTTTAAGAAAAAAAAAAGGAACACAGCACTCGGCCTTGGCCTGCTTGCCGTCTATATATACTGCTACTCTCCAGGCAAGGTCATTCGCAGCTCATTCCTACTAGCTTCCTTGCATAGTTCCATCCACCCGGCCGGTGCTAGCAAGCTAAGGTTTGCTGGCTGCTGCTAGTGGTAGATCTCCTCCCTCTCATCATATCTCTCGTGGCTTCTACTCCACTTCGTTCCCCTGCCGACCACGTCCAGCTTGAGACCTCGAGCGAGGCCACCGTGGAGCGACGCTGCTCAACTGATGACCTGAAACACCAAGGTATTGTTGGGGATGAGCATGCATCTGTCTGCGTGTGTAATTTCTGCATGGTAACATGGCATGTGTTCAATCGGTTTGAGTTTTCGCTAGAGAAAAGGAGCAGTATGCATGCAGGATTGCAGAGACAAGTCCATGTCCATCCGTAGAAACTTTAGAGGGGATCTTAGCATCCGCACGGCTGTCCTGGTGAGTTCCGTGCGTGCGTTGTTGCATGGCTTCATGGCTGTATAGGAGCTAGCGTACGCATGAGCACGGACGGAATAGCTAGCCAGCATTCCAATTCCATGCCTGTGGGGTGTGGCTGGCATCGAGTCCAGGCAAGATTGTGCGGGTCACACCTGGGGGCGGTCCAATCCGTGAGTGGACACTGGACAGGCACACGTCAGTCGCTGCCTCGCCGCGGTGGACGGCGACGTGCCCCCTGTATAGCCTCTGCCTGTAGAAGCTGTTAGGTTTACTGGTTTGTGTGCACTAGGACACTCACTGCTATAGCCACAGCGTTTAACAATCCTTGGAGACTGCGACTCCTGCAACAGAGGAGACGGCCAGGAGAAGCGTACAAAACCACCTACACGTCGTGACGCATCGATCCCATGGACGTCACTTCGTGTTTGTCTGCGTAGATACGAGAGGTTGATGCGGGGCAGGTCAGGTCGGGGGAAAAATAGCTGTCCGTGATTGTACTTCTTCGGGTTCTGAACGAGTCCGTTCCGAGCCAGCCATTTTTTCCCCTCCTGTCTGCCTCTCGGGATTGGAAGGACTGCCATGTCAAGCTCCCGCACTAGATTCCTCAACCCAAACGCGTCCCATCCGTCCATCCGGCACAAGGAATTCACTGAACGGCTCCCTCGCCGCCCGTACGCCCCTCTGCCGGCCTCTGTTTGGGCCAAGCGGAGCATGTCACTGGCTCTTTTACGGCCACTGCTCACAGAGTCACAGTACTGTGACATCGGAGACCAATTTGATCTTTTGTGTCTATCTAAGCGCCGGGGAGGTAGTGTCGAATTTTGACAAGAAATGTGTGGTGAAATTTTGTAATATTCAACACCAGATGGCGACAAAAGCCCCGGTCGGCGCGGTCTCCTCTCCTCTCCGCGCCGAAAAGGAGTGCCCACCTGCCTTGCCTCCTATAAAACCGGCCGCCCTCGAGCCCCGCCGAGCTGCAGTTTCTCTTGCAGCGGCCTGCTTCGCCCGTAGGGAACCCAACCCCGGTTGCTTGCTCATTACTAGAGTCCAGAAACCGCTGGAATTTTACCTAGTGAAAAACAACAAGGTGAGCACCGCTAGGAGTGAGTTTCGTACTAGACTAACTAGATCGATCGATCGAACCGTAGATATGGCAAGCATCGCCGTACGGGATTGCCGAGCCGTGCTTCGGCCGAATTGGTGGATCTGGTATTGCGATACTAGCATGATGTTCTTTCTTCTTCTTTCTCCCGCTATTATTCTTGGATTTGACGACACATGCACCTGTCGTGTGTGATTGCTAGACATGCATCTCATGAATGGTGTTTGTGTGTGTGCTGCAGGTGCCTTGAGTTTCGGTACGACGATGGAGTTCATCGGCAGCAAGGACGTGCAGATGGCCGGGCTGAACACCGAGCTGTCGTCGAGAGAAGACGACGCGCTCCCGGCGCTCCTGATCAAGGTTCCGACCCAGACCATCGCGGGCTTCGACTGCGTCGGCGCGGACGCCGACGCCACCGTCTCCCTGGACGAGCTGGATGACAAGGTGGAGGAGCTGCAGGGCCGCTCGGGAACCACCAAGGATATTGTCATCAGCATCCCTGCTGCGCCGGCTAGCGCGCCACCGCCACGCGTCGCCGTCGCTCCCGCGAGAGCCTACGACGACGACGCGCGCGTCCCGTACTCCGTGTCGCTCAGCATGCCGGCGTCGCCGTCGGGGTTCCACCTGTCGCAGTTCATGTGCGCGGATCACGCGCGCGCGGCGCCGGCCGACGACGTCCACCACCACCCGGTGGCGGTGGAGGAGCAGCAGGTGGCGGAGGCGCACTCGCCGCGGCTGATCAAGCAGACGCGGTTCCACTCGCAGCCCATCCTGAACCTGCACCCGTCGTCCAAGAACGCCGTCGACGAGGCACGGCGGTGCGACAGCAGCAGCACGCGCGACAAGCGGTTCGACCCGTTCAAGACCTTCTCGGGCCGCCTCGAGCGGCAGCTGTCCAACCTGCGCGGCCGCCCGCAGGAGCCCGTCGACGGCATATCCCCGGACTCGAAGATCTCCGAGGAGGAGACCGACCAGGTCCCCGCCGCCGACCGCTACTTCGACGCCTTGGAAGGCCCCGAGCTTGACACGCTAAGGGTAAGCAGCCCTTTTCTTTTTCGTTCATTTTGATACACAAGTAACACAAGCTTCAAGCTTGACGACGACGTGTGGATTTCGTTTCTGGACGACTGGTGGAGTGGAGAACAAAAGATCTGAGCGACGCGAGCTTTCGTCGTGTGTTGCAGGCCACGGAGGTGCCGGTGCTGCCGAAAGACGAGAAGTGGCCATTCCTGCTGCGGTTCCCGATCAGCGCGTTCGGTATGTGCCTGGGCGTGAGCAGCCAGTCCATCCTGTGGAAGACGCTGGCGTCGGCGCCGCCGACGGCGTTCCTGCACGTGAGCCCCGTGGTGAACCACGTGCTGTGGTACGCGGCGCTGGCGCTGATGCTGCTGGTGTCCGTCATCTACCTGCTCAAGGTGGTGTTCTACTTCGAGGCGGTGCGGCGCGAGTTCTACCACCCGGTCCGCGCCAACTTCTTCTTCGCGCCGTGGATCGCGTGCCTGTTCCTGGTGCTGGGCGCGCCGCGGCTGGTGGCGGAGATGCACCACGGCGTGTGGTACGCGGTGATGGCGCCCATCTTCTTCCTGGAGCTCAAGATCTACGGGCAGTGGATCTCCGGCGGGCAGCGCCGGCTGTCCAAGGTGGCCAACCCGTCCAACCACCTCTCCATCGTCGGCAACTTCGTGGGCGCGCTGCTTGGCGCCAAGATGGGCCTCCGCGAGGGCCCCATCTTCTTCTTCGCCGTCGGGCTGGCGCACTACATGGTGCTCTTCGTGACGCTCTACCAGCGGCTCCCCACCAACGTGACGCTCCCCAAGGAGCTCCACCCCGTGTTCTTCCTCTTCGTCGCCGCCCCCAGCGTGGCGTCCATGGCGTGGGCCAAGATCAACGGGCAGTTCGACGCCGGCGCCCGGATCGCCTACTTCATCGCGCTCTTCCTCTACATGTCACTGGTACGTGTCGTACTCCGGTTCATGACGCATCCACCACGTACCTAGCACATTTGCCTCTGTTGCCGCCCGTTGATATGTTGATGATATCCCACTAACCCAGGCGGTGCGCATCAACTTCTTCCGGGGTTTCCGCTTCTCGCTGGCGTGGTGGGCGTACACATTCCCGATGACCGGCGCGTCCGTGGCGACCATCACGTACGCGACGGAGGTGACCAACGTGCTGACCCGGGCGCTCTCCATCGGGCTGTCGGGGATCTCCACCGTCACCGTCGCCGGGCTGCTGGTGACCACGGTGTTACACGCCTTCGTGCTCAGGGACCTCTTCCCCAACGACGTGTCCATCGCCATCACCAGGAAGAAGCCCAAGTTCAGCAAGATCCTGGCGCACTTCCGCTCGTCCAGCTCCGACATGAAGGAGCTCGTCTTCTCCCTCTCCAACTCCAAGACGGCGGCGCAGTCCGACTCCGGCGACACCGAGACCGACCCGTCCGTGACCGCCAAATCCCGAGCCGAGCCGTGACTAGCGGCTCAAGCCAACTAGGAGCCGCCCGCTCGCGGTCTCAACTCTCATGTATAGCTGCTAGATCCCTTAGCTAGCTGACATAGCGGGGGTTTTTTTTTTGGATTCTGTTACGAAGGAGAAGGAGAGGTCGTCGCCGGTGAGCAAGTGCGCAGGCACGCACGCATCGATCGGCCTAAAGCTGATGCAGCAGTTGGTCGGCGTGCAGTGGATGGAATGATCGGACATACGAAGGGTATCCTTGGAGCATTTTAGTGGTGATGAGGATATAGCATGAGGAAAAACACTACTCCTACTAGTAGTAGATTGATTGATTAGTTTGTAAATCTACGGACATATATATATATATATATATATATATATATATATATATATATATATATATATATATATATATATATATATATATATATATATATATATATATATATATATATATATATGCAAGTGGTGTGAACTTAAGTAAGAATAAACCATGCATGAACATGTTCTGGCCTTTAAAGATTTGGACCTTCAACTGTGGGGCACTCCGCGCACTGCTTTTGCCGTTCTGCGAGGCTAGCTTGGCCCATGCATGAGTGGACCACTGGAGATCAAGTGTTTGCTGGCGGGTTTCTTTCTTCTGTTCTGCCAAGAAACGGACAGTGACCGACAGCCACACACACACAGAGCAGAATCAACAGCACGCACGCAGCAGCATGCTCCATGCATGCCATGCCTTTCGAGACGTCACTAGCAGCGAGCACGCCACCACCCAGACGCGAGAGAGATGGCCGTGACTGGACTGTCCACCGGCTTTCATGCGCCGCGACACCGCCCAGTGCGTTGAAACAGCCGAATTCCTGTGGAAACCTCGCGCGCATCGACCGGTTCAGGTAGTGTTCTGATTGTTTGCGCGCGACTGGTAGCGTTGTGGCGGGCGGCTCCAAGATGGAGATGGCGACCTCCCGTCGGCACGGTACAGGCTCAAGGACCTCGCAGGACGCTTCGGTTGTGTGATTGTCCGTTCATGGAGATATTCACTCTCAAGCCCCCTCAACTTGCAGCATGCGCCGCCGGTGACTGCAGTTTCCTCCTGCGCATATTCTGGCACTTTGTTTGATTTGATTCTCGGATGTATGCAGTTGGATGTATGTATGCGTTTCTCTATCTCTCTCGGCACGTTTGCTTTCTGCGATCTAGCTGAGAGCTGAGTCAAACCTGAAGAGCTTGGTGATTGTTCCTGTCATTCGTCGAGCGTGACTTTAGGTTGCCGATAGGCTGAATGTGACAAGCTTCGCTGCTTCAGCTCAGGTACAGAGCCCCAGCACAAGGTTAGGTTGTGGATTACTGAATTTTGTTAGAGGCTGACTGGTCCGTTGGCAGCATGCCGAGTTTCCAGTTAATTGACCCTGTTGGCTTCTCTTAAAATCTGTCTTTTTCAGCTTGTTTTTTCAGCCGAAACAGTGTTTTTCTCTCACAACAAATCAGCCGGAACAGTGTTTCGGCTTGTTTTTTCAGCGAAGCGAACAGGGTCAATGAGGTGCTTGTGTACATACCATATACTGTATGTATGTATGATACCAAAATGAGAGATCTCGCTCCAAGTCCAAGTCGTGCTTTTTTTTTTGAGAAACTTCCATGAATCGTTCTTGAGGCTTTTCTCTGTGTGCCATTATAAAAGATCGTAATCCTCTTTGTGCCCCTGGAAAAATTCAGCGGTCTTCAGCGTCACTACTCCAACTTTTTCGGGTCCTCCGTGCCATTTCCGTCAGTTCAAGCTCTAACGTCGTCAAATTGTAGGTGTGAAAAGACGAAAATGCCCTTAAGTTCAAATATGTTATTAATTTTTTGAGCATCTTAACGACTTCAAATGAAAAAACTCAAAACTAAAAAGTTGTAGATCTCGTCGAGATCTATAATTTTCATATAAAAATTATTTCCATTTAATTCCACAAAAAAATATGATTTGATATGATTAATATATCTTAGAAAAATCATCATATTTTTTTTGCGGAATTAAATAAAAATAATTTTTATATGAAAATTATAGATCTCGACGAGATCTACAACTTTCTAGTTTTGAGTTTTTTCATTTGAAGTCGTTAAGATGCTCAAAAAAAATTAATAACATATTCGAACTTAAGGGCATTTTCATCTTTTCACACATGCAATTTGACGACGTCAGAGACTGAATTGACGGAAGTGATATGGAAGACTGAATTTTTCCAGAGGCGTACAGGGGATTACGATCTTTTATAATGGCACACGAGCAAAAATCTCATGGTGCTAGGACTCCAGGATTGGAATACCGCACTTTTGGATCAGGAGGCCTTTGGGCCTTGTATCGTGTCCGTAACTGAGCCCACTTTGGACTTTGGTGAATCTACCGCACGTGGAGGCCCTTGGGCTGGCAAATTTGTACCTCCGCTTGAATTTGTTACTGAGCCTACGCAACAATTAGGCCCTTGACGAGAGCCTGCAGCCAGTCAGGGGAGCAGGGTTTGTATCTGTAGAGCTTGGAGAAATGAAATTTGCATTCTGCAATTCTTTTTGAACCTTGAGTAATTCGCGTCTTGTAAATGTCCCTACACTCGTAATATTAGTAGTTCAACAACACGCTGGGCAAATGGCAATACATATAATGCGAAAAACGGGGGGGGAACGCCGTCGACCTGAGAGCGTCAAAACAGTGACAGCCTGACAAGGGTGACAGTATGACACTATGAACGCAAGTCGACAAGGGTGAGTATTTTTCACTGGCTTGATCGCCAACGGTACAAATCCGTTTCAGTCGACGTCTTGGCGTCCTGGCCCTCTTGAAGCCAATATGCACAAATGCTCCATAGAAACTGACAATTTGGTCAAGACTCAAGACACGGAGCTCAGGGCTCAGCATCATCTCCGTGTGTTGGTCAGACCAACTTCAGATTGCAAGGTCGGATCAGCTAATCAACAGCCCTCATGGTCTCATGGATCAAGCAAAGCTGCTAAACTAAAACGTTGGGTCCTCTTCAGCCAAACCACACAGTACATTTTACAGCAATACACGATCGACGGATCGAGCAGCCGATATCGCACGCGACACCGGAACGCTCGATGGCGAGGTGTCCCATCCCATTGATGACGGAAGCAGAGTATTGTTTCGTCCCGATTTCCCGTGAAGCCAATTGAATGCAGGCAAATCCTCAGTTCATTCACTCCCCTTCTCCCCCATCCCGTGAGCAGCATTTACTGTCCCCCCGGCTCTGAATTCAATGCCCACTCTGCGTCGCGTCTCTCTGCCCCTCTGACACTATAAAACCCGCGCGCGCCATTTCTGTACGTGCGCCTGGCTGCAACTTTTAGGCACGTTGCTGCGATGGCTTCTTCGGTGCTTCCTGCGTGGTCGTCGATCATGGTCCTGGTGGTGTTGACCGCAGGCGTCCGGCCGCCGCCGTGCTGCCGCGCCGAGTTCACGGTGGTGGTGCCGGACACGTCGGCAGCGGCGCTGGTGGACGCGCCGCAGCCGGGGTTCTCGGACCGGGCGCGCATCGACCCGGCGGAGCAGCGCGCCGTGCAGGAGGTGATGGCGGCCACGGGCAACGGCTGGGCGTGGGGCATCCCGGACGTGTGCCGGGGCCGCTGGCACGGCATCGAGTGCGTGCCCGACCGCCACGACGTCTACCACGTCGTGTCGCTGGCCTTCGGCGCGCTCTCCGACGACACGGCCTTCCCGGCCTGCGACGCGGCGACCGCCACGCTCTCCCCCGCCGTGCTCGCGCTCCCGCACCTCCGCTCCCTCTTCTTCTACCGCTGCTTCACGGGCAACCCGCAGCCGATCGCGGCCCTGCTCGGCAGCCTCGGCCCCGCGTCGTTCCGCTCCCTCGTGCTCCGCCAGAACGGCCACGTCGGCCCCATCCCGGCGGAGCTCGGGAACCTCAGGGCGCTACGCGTGCTCGACCTCCACGGCAACCAGCTCACCGCCGCCATCCCGCCCACCCTCCAGTCCCTGACCCACCTCCGGATGCTCGACCTCAGCTACAACCGTCTCGCCGGCCCGGTGCCGCGCTTCGACTTCCAGCGGCTCAGCATCCTGGACCTCAGCCACAACGCGCTCCAGGGAGGCGTGCCGTGGAGCCTCGGCCAGTGCCGCTCTCTGCTCAAGATCGACCTCAGCCAGAACCGCCTCACCGGCACGATCCCCGGCGCGCTCGGCGAGCTGTCCGAACTTATGCTGCTGGACCTCAGCCATAACGCGCTGTCCGGCCCGATCCCGGCCGCGCTCAGCCGGCTGGCGTCGCTGCGGTCCCTGATCCTCAGCGACAACCGGATGCAGTTCTCGACGGTGCCCGACGGCTTCTTCACTGGGCTCAAGGCGCTGACCACGCTGGTGCTCTCCGGAATGGGCTTGGCCGGGACGATCCCGGAGTCCATCGGGGAGCTGGGCGAGCTTCGGGTGCTGCGGCTCGACAATAACCAGTTCACCGGCGTAATACCGCCGAGCTTCCGGCGGCTGGAGAGGGCGAGCGAGCTCCGCGTCGACGGCAACCGGCTGGTGGGCCCGATACCGTTCGGCAAGGAGATGATGTGGAGGCTGGGCAAGAAGCTGCGCGTCGGCGGCAACGAGGGGCTGTGCTATGACACCAAGCAAGAAGGCCTCGAGGGCGTCGTTGCGCTCGCCGGCGTCGCGGACTGTGACAGCGTCAGGAGTCGCACGACGCAGCACTTGGTCTGGAGCAATAGTACTGTAGTTAGCCGCCGCGGCGGTGTGGCCACCGTGACCTCATCAGCTGCTTCCGTCAGCCGTAACACCGGTGGTACTCGTGTGGAAACTACTTGGCTTGTGTTCGTATGTCTGCACCTTGCATGGTTTGTAGCGTTGGAGTTGCAATTGTAAGTAGGACGGCCAGGATGTGGTGATTCCGGAACCCGAACAGTGGTTGTAAAGAGGTCAGGGCATTTTTTTAATCAGGACAGTAAGAAGTGAACAAGGAATTTTGTCTACTCCGATGTTGTTTTGATGTCAACACCCCTCTTTCCCGTCTTATCTTAGCAAGGTAGCCCGCTCATTCATAGAATTAAGCTTAATGTTACTAATTAGAGGCTCCAAGAATCCTCCGTGCTAATTCCCACGACAGACGTGGTACACAAATAATCATAAGCCCAGTGTTGGATCTTTGGAATTAAAATTCATTCTAATAATCACAATTTGGGACGGTCAGGATGTGGTGATTCCGGAACCCCAACAGTGGTTGTAAAGAGCTCAGGCCATTTTTTTATCAGGACAGTAAGAAGTGAACAAGGAATTTTGTCTACTCCGATGTTCCAAATTAAGCGTCTGTGGGCACCTATTGTCGATTGGAGATGCGTGTACCGCTCCACCGTATCCAAAGGTTGGAGCAAACATCTCTTAAGATCGACTAAATTTATGCATCTGTGTTGTAACAAAAAATAATACCATAGTAGTCTAATTTTGAGCATGTTGTGCTATTACAAAAAAATATGATTTGTACAATCGTCACTATTCCATAAGTCTTCATGAAACATGATCAACTAGCATATAATTTAAATTTTTGATGTGAAATCGGAACAACCTAGTTCATACTATATAGCCATTGTTATTATGATTATCAATTCTACCATGCCTTGTTTATGATATGCTTAAGATAGTCGTGAAGTGAAGATTTTAATCTTACAATCGACACTAGGAATATTGGATCAGACCATGAGCGCAATTGAGTGAAGCTTATCAATCCAGCTTCCATCTGTGTGAATTATATTATTCCACTCTGAAACTTGTTTAGGTTCTACTTCTCGTGCAAGTCTGTATTTTTGGAATACTATGTTGGCTAGAGGTATTGCTACGTATTTAATATTCAGAAACTAGCATCCACCTATGGTGCTTCTTTAGCCTGATCAAACAAGCAGCTAGCAGCAGCCTGAATTTCTAGATCGGTAATGCTAGGAGTTCGTACGTCCGTCCGTGGCTCCGCGCCGGAAGTCTCTATTGGTGTACCCGATATCCAAAGGCTATCTATCGTATCCGTTTCTTTCCGCTCCCTCAGCTCCCCTCCAGCCGACGCAGATTAAAAAAAACACGCATCACCGCGATCGCTCCGCCACGCCTCCCGCACGTCTTGCTCTCCACCGCGCCTCCCGCCGGCCCTTCCTCTCCACCGCCGCTGCGCGTGCTCCCCCCGGACCGCACAGCCGCTGCCGCCTCGCCGTGTGAGGTCACACCCAACCGACTGATGTTGCCGGCTCCACCGCGGGCACCACTCACGCGGGGCAAAGCGTGTGCCCCTATATCGCCGGGGGCAGCACCGCCGCTCATCGGGGGCGCACAACTGCTCACCCGCTGTCATCCTAATTCTCCACCGTGACCACATAGCCGGATCTTGCTGTGCAGTGCACCGCCCGCCCGACTGCCAGGTTTTGCTGAAAGCACATGTTGCAAGTGTATGTTTCAAGTATTTTAGGTGTTTCAGACGTATGTTGCAAGTGTTTCAGATGGATGTTGCAAAGTAGATCTAGATGTTTCATATGTTGTAATGGTTGTACACGTATGTTGCGAAGGTATGTTAGCAATGTTTCATCTGTGTTTTCGGACGTATATTGCAAGCGTGTTTATCTGGATGTTGCATATGTTTCACACATATGTTGCTTGTGTTTTTTCTGGATGTTGCTTATGTTTGGAAAGGTTTTCAAGTGTTTTCGGGTGTTTTTTTCAAGTGTTTTAGAAGAATGTTGCAAGTGTGTGTTTTAAATATTTCAGTTATTTCAGACATATGTTACCAGTGTTTTATGTGAATGTTGCATATGTTGCAGTGGCTGCACACATGTTGCAAGCATATATTCCAAATGTTTCATTTTATTTTAGACGTATGTTGCAGCAAGCCCTCCATGTTGCAAGTGTTTCATGAGGCTCAGGCAGCCCCCCGGGCGAAGGAGGTCCCCACGGGCGGGGCGGCCGCCGGGGCACAAAGACGGCGAAAAAATACGGTGCGCAACATGGCACGAATGGCAAAGCGAAGCGAGAAAGCAACGAAGGCGCTGAGAGCAACAACAGGCGAGCGGCGCTGCGAGCTGCGAGCGGACATGCATGCATGCTCCAATGTGCGTCCATGAGTGGGGGCAACCAAAGGGAGCACGTGGGAGACAGACACCCGATGTGGGACCCGCCGCAGAGGCAGGGGCACTGGAGCGTTGCCGTTTTTTGCCGATCCATTTTGGCCGCTGGCGGGCCCAGCTGACAGCCGAGGAGGTACGCTCCGCTAGCTGTTCGGGCCGCATGTCCGCGAGTGTGCAAGGGCGAGTTGGCCGCATAGGGGAGCACACGCTGGGCTGAGCGGCGGGTGCGGCACGGTGTTCGGACGCACACTTCTATCCGGATGTCCGGGTGCTAGTAAGCCCGTTTCTAGATACTACTCAGACAAAAGTCTGAGCATGTTGTAGCAAAAAATCGTAGTTTTTTTTAAATTACACAGTATAACGTAGACGTTCACAATATGCACGCACACTCACCCCTACGAAAACACGCATGAAAAAAATCGCACTTTGTTGGACAGTGAATTTGCTCACTGGATTTTCAACGCACTGAATTTTTTCAACGGCTTTCATCAGTGTAACTTTGGGTTGAGTTATGGTAATTATCTTGTGTAGCTTTGCCTCCATTGTCTGGCACCTCGTCGCATATTGTTTGTGTGTGCTCTCTTGGGTTTGTTGTAGCCGGAATTATTCTGCCTCCTTTTAATAAAAATACGTTTTATATGGACACGTTCGCTAAAAAAATTAATCCATTATAGAACATCAACGAAAATCCATATATTGTTTTGTTAGGGACGAAGTCTAGATGCCAACTCGCCATGCTTCTCTTTCGAATCAGATAGACTCGGAACACGGCGTAGAAAATCTGCCTCCTTGATGGGCTGGTCTTAATTCTCATTTATTTTCTTTACAATTCGCAATTGTAAAAAATTGTTCAAACTTGCATTAGATCACTTCCTACCTGCAGGCTGAATTATTGGTAGCCTGTGCCCGGTTCGCTTTGGATTATAAGCCGTATTTTTTAACTAATGAACAGTATTTTTTCTCTCACAATAAATCAGCCAACAGTACTTTCAGCCATGGCTTATCAGCCAAGCGAACAAGCACAAGTTTGTTTAGTTGCACTTGTAACAGCCTCAATCAGTGTATTGTGTATTGGAGGCTTGGTATGCTACAGTTAGCTGTAAGTCTGGACTAAGGAACAACTATCCTAGTCCAGACTCAGCTTTTTTATGTAAAGGAAGATTTTATTAAATTTTGAAGCACATTACATGAGTAGATACAAAGTCTTGAAGATAATTCTCCGGCCTTTGCTTGATAGAAGGCACACAACCAATTAAAAGAGGGAACCACAGACACTATAGTAACTATCAATATGTAGACTAGAACATCATTCATGTGTCTAGGAGAAGATAACCTTGGCCACCTGTGCCAAGTACCATGAAAACGTCACAACCAAATCCTGTATATCCGGCTTCTATGGAGCCAACAAATGACCAAGAAGATAACCTATAAAGGAGATGAATAGTTTTTGTTTTCAAAAACTATATCATTCCGACGTAACCAAATCGACATACACAAGGCGGCAGCTCCTAGTAGAACTAAAGGCTTTAAATCTTTACTAATCTCTTCAATCCAATTGCCAAACATATTTGACACGCTAGGTTTAGCTAGACCTGAGGCCATCTGAATTATTGACCAAACTGCTCGGACGAAACGACAATCAAAGAACAAATGTCTAATTGTCTTTTCTTTGTGACAAAAACAACATGTTTTGCAACCTTGCCGGTTACACATTTCGCTAAATTATCTTTTGTAAGCACTACTCTTCTATGTAGATACCACAAAAACTCTGACCTTAAAGGGGCTTGCGTTTATTTAAATCGGGCACCTATAAATGGATTAGGGACTGATAATGTTTTTTTTAAAATTAGGGCTTGATAATGTGACTTCACTAAGAATTGTCCAGACTCAACTATTTGCGGGCTTGCGAGCATGCAGTCCGCTTCTATTCTATCTTATCGAATCTATTTTTTCTGGTACACAATGAATGTCAAATCTTTATTTGTATCGGAGTTTCTAAACATGATTAGTTGCCTGCATCGATGAGGACAACAGGGTGGTGCAACAGGAATTTACAAAGGATACTTGGATTAGAACATTGAGGGGAAGAACAATACAACAACACAAATTGAAGAATTCATCTCCCTTTGGATCTGTATCCAAAGCTTTCATCTATAGTCGGAGGTCAAGGATAAAATCACTTGGAAATATACCGCGGATGGACAATAAAACGCCAAATCCGATGGACAAATATTTTGGCGGGCACATATGAAAAGTACTTGCAAAATATTCATTTCTCATCCAAAACAAAATACTCACAACCTCGCCATCAAGGATGACCACACAACAAAAATTGCACTCTATACAATGGTCCGTTAGTGCCTCTTTGCACAAGCGTTTCGAAACCAAATCGCATCATCGGAGCACTTTTGATGGGTTGGACACAACATGCATGTAAACTTTATCACAGTAGCAAAATTGTGGGATAACACCCTAGGTTTGGTCCCTAAAGAACACAAGCGAGCTTTCAATGGTTTAGTCATCTACATCATGTGGAACATTTAGAAAGAGCGTAGCCGCAGAAACGCAGAAAATCCAGGTCGCCGGACGGATCAAAGAAAACCTAGACCTCCACAAAAGGGTGCGTTGTGCAACCTTCCTTAGTGGTCGTTTGGGGGTTTATTTGAAGTTTTCTTAGTATGAATTTTTCTCTAGGCTAGTGGGCTCGCATGTCCAGTGTCTTTTGGACCCTTGCCTCTTTATATGTACATATCACTCTCTTCACCT